AATATGTTAGTTGTAGATGGTTGGATTGATTTCTGGTGTTTCTATTCTGTTCCATTGGTTTATCCATCTGTTTTTGTACCAGTACCAGGCTTTTTTGAGTATAACTGCCTTGTAGTATGTCTTGAAATCTGGTAATGTAATGTTTCCAGCTTTGTTTTTGTTGTATAAGATTGCTTAGTGATTAAGGGTCTCCTGTGCCTCCATATGAATTTGAGCACCATTCTTTGTATATCTGCAAAGAATGTCTTCGTTATTTTGATTGGTATCACATTGAATCTGTAAATTGATTTTGGAAGAATGGACATTTTATTGATATTGATTCTTCTAATCCATGAACATGGAAGATTTTTCCATTTTTTGGTATCTTCTTCTATTTCTTTCTTTAGTGTTTTGTAATTCTCATTGTAGAGATCTTTGACATCCTTGGTTAAATTTATTCCAAGGTATTTGATTTTTTTGTAGCTATTGTGAATGCTATTGACCTTAGAAGTTCTTTCTCAGCCTCGGCAGTATCTGTGTATACAAAGGCTGTTGATTTTTGTGTACTGATTTTATATCCTGCTACTTTACCAAACTCTTCTATGAGTTCCCATAGTCTCTCTCTTTTTTTTTATTTTTTATTTTTTATTTTTTGACAGGCAGAGTGGACAGTGAGAGAGAAAGACAGAGAGAAAGGTCTTCCTTTGCCGTTGGTTCACCCTCCAATGGCCACCGCGGCCGGCGCTCTGAGGCCGGCGCACCGCGCTGATCCGATGGCAGGAGCCAGGAGCCAGGTGCTTTTCCTGGTCTCCCATGGGGTGCAGGGCCCAAGCACCTGGGCCATCCTCCACTGCACTCCCTGGCCACAGCAGAGGGCTGGCCTGGAAGAGGGGCAACCGGGACAGAATCCGGCGCCCCAACCGGGACTAGAACCCAGTGTGCCGGCGCCGCTAGGCGGAGGATTAGCCTATTGAGCCGCGGCGCCGGCCTCCCATAGTCTCTTGCTAGAGTTATTGGATCCCCTATATAGAGAACCATGTCATCTGCAAATAGGGATAGTTTGACTTCCTGCTTCCCAATTTGTATCCTTTGATTTCTTTTCCTTGCCTAATGGCTCTGGCTAAAACTTCCAGTACTATATTGAATAGCAATGGTGAGAGTGGGCATCCTTTTCTGGATCTCAATGGAAATGCTTTCCACTTTTTCCCCATTCTATAGGATGCTGGACGTGGGTTTTTCATAAATTGCTCTGATTGTATTGAGAAATGTTCCTTCTATACCCAATCTGCTTAGAGTTTTCATCATGAAAGGGTGTTGTATTTTATCAAATGCTTTCTCTGCATCTATTGAAATAATCATATGGTTTTTCTTCTGCAGTTTGTTAATGTGGTGCATCACATTGATTTGTGAACGTTGAACCATCCCTGCATACCAGGGATAAATCCCACTTGGTCTGGGTGGGTGATCTTTCTGATGTGTTGGATTCAATTGGCCAGAATTTTGTTGAGGGTTTTGTGTCTATGTTCATCAAGAAAATCATCCGTAGTTCTTTTTCTCTGTTTTATCTTTTTCAACTTTAAGAATTAAGGTGACAGTGGCTTCATAGAAATAATTTTGGAGAATTCCCTCTGTTTCAATTGTTTGAATAACTTGGCAAGAATTGGAGTTATTTCTTCTTTAAATTTCTGGTAAAATTCAGAAATGAAGCCTTCCCTTCCCGGACGTTTTTTTTTGTTGTTGTTGTTGGGAGGGTCTTTATTACTGATTCAATTTCCTTCTTGGTTATTGGTCTGTTTAGGTTTTCTGTATTCATGGCTCAATTTAGGTAGGCTGTATATGTGTAGGAATCTTTCCATTTCTTCTTCAGGTTTCCCAGCCTGTTGGCATATAGCTTTGTAGTAATTTCTAATGATTCTTTTTATTTCTGTGGTGTCTGTTGTTATATTTACTTTTCCATCTCTAAATTTATTGATTGGGGTCTTCTTTCTCATTTTTTTTGTTTAGTTGGACCAATGGTGTGTCCAATTTGTTTATTTTTTCAAAAAACCAGCCATTTTTTTGCAGATCTTTTGCATTATTTTTTGGTTTCAATTTTGTTGATTTCTTCTCTAATTTTAATTATTTCTGTTCTATTAGTTTTGGGCTTGGTTTGCTGTTGCTTTTTCTAGATCTTTCAGATACAGTGATAGCTCATTTATTTGATGCCTTTGCAAATTCTTGATGTAGGTACCAATTACTGTAAGCTTTCCTCTTTTTTTTTTTTTTTGACAGGAGAGTGGACAGTGAGAGAGAGAGAGAGAGAAAGGGAGAAAGGTCTTCCTTTGCCATTGGTTCACCCTCCAATGGCCACCGTGGCCGGCGCTCTGAGGCCGGCGCACTGCGCTGATCCAATGGCAGGAGCCAGGTACTTATCCTGGTCTCCCATGGGGTGCAGGGCCCAAGCACTTGGGCCATCCTCCACTGCACTCCCGGGCCACAGCAGAGAGCTGGCCTGGAAGAGGGGCAACCGGGACAGAATCTGGCACCCCGACCGGGACTAGAACCAGGTGTGCCGGCACTGCAAGGCGGAGGATTAGCCTAGTGAGCCGCGGCACCGGCTATCTTTCCTCTTAACACGGCTTTTTCTGTATCCCATAAGTTTTGATATGTTGCATTGTAATTTTCATTTATTCCCAGAGATTTTTATTTTTCTCTTTTGATTTCTTCTATGATTCTCTGTTCGTTCAGGAGCATGTTGTTGTCTCCATGTATTTGCATATGCTCTACATATTCCTGAGATTCTGATTTCCAGCTGCAATTCATTGTCATCTGAGTAGATGCATGGTATGATTTCGATTTTTTTTTTTTAATTTGCTGAGACTTGCTTTATGGCCTTGCATTTGTTCAATCCTAGACAAAGTTCCATGCAATGCTGAGAAGAATGTGCATTCTGCAACTAGGATGAAAAGTTCTGAAGATATCTGTTAGGTCCATTTGTTTTGCTGTTTCCTTGCTGATTTCTGTCTGGTTGATCTTTCCATTGCTAAAAGTGGGGTATTGAAATCCCCCATTACTATGTCTCCCTTTAGATCCCTTAACATTTTTTTTAAATAACAAGGTACCCTGTAATTAGTTACATATACATTCAAAATAGTTAGATCTTCCTGTTGAATTGTTCCTTTAATCATTACATAGTGCCATTCTTTGTTTCTTTTAACAGTTTTTGTGTTAAAGTCTGTTTTATCTGATCTTAGGACAGCTACACCAGCTTTTTGGTTTCTGTTAGCATGGAGTATCTTTTTACATCCTTTCACTTTCATTCTGCATACACCTTTGCTGGTGAGGCGTGTTACTAGAAGGCAGAAAATAGATGGGTCTTGTTTTTTAATCCCTTCATCCAGTCTGTATCTTTTAACTGGAGAGTTGAAGCCATTTACATTCAAGATGACAACTGATAAGTAATGACTTTGCCCTGCCATTTTTTCCATAAATATTCCTATTGCTTACTTCCGATTTCCTTTGTACTTTTACTGGAAGGTTTTCTTCCTTTACCTTCTTCTGTAGTGATGACCATGTTTCTGTGTTTCTAGGCATACCACATCCTTAACCATCTTCTGCATTGCTGGATGGGTGGTGACAAAATTCTTTCAATTTCTAATTGTCATGGAAGATCTTTATTTCACCTTCATTCATAAATGAGAGTTTTGCATGGTATAATATTCTGGGTTGACAGTTCTTTACTTTGAAACCCTGGAATACATCTCACCATTCTCTCTTAGCCTGTAGGTTTTATGATGAGAAGTTTGCTGTGAGTCTAATTGGAGACGCTCTTAAAGTAATCTGGCATTTCTCTCATGTATATTTTAGAGTTTTTCAAATTTTTTTTTACTCTTGAGAGTTTGATTAGAGTTTCATGAAGATCTTTTCTGGTCATGTCTACTAGGAGTTCTATGTACTTCCTGTACTTGGATGTATCTTTCTCCAAATTATGGAAATTTTATTTTATTATTTCACTAAAAAGGACTTCTAATCCTTTCTCTCTTTCCATGCCTCAAGAAATCCTAAGACCTATATGTTGGGTCATTTGATAGTATCCTGTAGATCTTTAACAGTGTTTTTTAGTTTTCTAATTTCTTCTTCTTGTGTTTGATCTGTGTAATTTCCCGTGCTTAGTCTTCTAAGTCAGGTATTCTTTCTTCTGCTTTACCAATTCTGTTGTTAAGGCTTTCTCCTGCATTTTTTAATTTGTTCTATTGAACTCTTCATTTCCAAAATTTCTTTTTTTTTTTTTTTTGACAGGCAGAGTGGACAGTGAGAGAGAGAGACAGAGAGAAAGGTCTTCCTTTGCCGTTGGTTCACCCTCCAATGGCCACCGTGGCCAGCGCGCTGCGGCCAGCGCACCGCGCTGATCCGATGGCAGGAGCCAGGAGCCAGGTGCTTTTCCTGGTCTCCCATGGGGTGCAGGGCCCAAGCACCTGGGCCATCCTCCACTGCACTCCCTGGCCACAGCAGAGAGCTGGCCTGGAAGAGGGGCAACCGGGACAGAATCCGGTGCCCCAACCGGGACTAGAACCCGGTGTGCCGGCGCCGCTAGGTGGAGGATTAGCCTAGTGAGCCGCGGCGCCGGCCATTTCCAAAATTTCATTTTGATTTCTCTTGAAGATCTCAATTTTCTGGGAGAAATTTTCTTTCATGTCACATACAGATTTATTAGTTTGTACTTTTGCTTCTGATTACTTTTTTTTTTTACAGGTAGAGTGGACAGTGAGAGAGAGAGAGAGAGAGAGAGAGAAAGGTCTTCCTTTGCCGTTGGTTCACTCTCCAATGGCTGCCATGGCCGGCGCGCTGCGGCTGGTGCACCACACTAATACAAAGGCAGGAGCCAGGTAGTTATCCTGGTCTCCCATGGGGTGCAGGGCCCATGCACCTGGGCCATCCTCCACTGCACTCCCTGGCCACAGCAGAGAGACGGCCTGGAAGAGGGGCAACCGGGACAGAATCTGGCGCCCCGACTGGGAGTAGAACCCGGAGTGCCAGCGCTGCTAGGTGGGGGATTAGCCTATTGAGCCGCGGTGCCGGCTTCTGACTACTTCTAAGTAATCCTATGGTCAATTTTTTCAATTCCATTTCTGGCATCATATTCACGATCTAGTATTGAAGTGTTGTGTATTCTTTTGGGACATCATATTGTCTTGTTTCTTTAATTGGCACATTTGCTGTTCAGTATTTGTGGAGACACTTGTTGATTTCTTCTTTGTTTTTTTCCATGTGGCAGCTTTTATCTTTGTAATGTTCCTCTGTAGATTAGTGGAATGTTTGCTTCCAGTAAATACCTAGAGGTGTGTAGTGAGTGTAGCCAGGGAGTCCTGTTCAGTTCTCCAGGATGGAGGGCATGTCTGAAGTGATATACTCAGTTTTGCATTGGCAAATCTCTTTTTTTAATCAGAGAGGAGGTTTGTTTTTGTCTGTCGGTGTAGACTCAGCTGAATTCCTCTCCTTGAAGGAGACCAGTGCCTGCATGCTAGTCCCAGTGTGTATATTATTCGTCAGCTCTGCCACAAGGACCACACAAAGGATCTGTGCAGTCCTCAATGTAAGCTCAGATCCCCCAGCAGTGATTCTCATTAGGTAACCAGGGAGCCCTGATGTGTGGAACCTCCCACAGTGACCACCCAAAGTCCCAGTCACACCCTGAGTCCTCCCACACAGCCTCAATGTTTTCACAGTCCCAGCACAAAAGCTTCCCACAGAAAACATGAAAGAAAGAAATAGACGAAGACCCCCAAAATGGAAAAATCTTCCCTGTTCATGGATTGGAAGAATCAATATCAATAAAATGTCCATGCTACTGAAAGCAATTTGCAGATTCAATGTGATACCAAATATCAAGGACATTCTTCACAGATATACAAAGAATGATGCTCAAATTCATATGGAAAGACAGGTGGACCCCGAATAGCTAAAGCAATCTTATACAACAAATACAACAGTACCAGATTTCAAGACATACTATAGGGCAGTTATAATCAAAACAGCCTGGTACTGGTACAAAACGTATGGATAGACCAATGGAACAGAATAGAAACACTAGAAATCAATTCAAATATCTACAACCAAATTATATCTGACCAAGGAGCTAAAATCAATTCCTGGAGCAAGAACAGTCTCTTCAACTAATGGTGCTGGGATAGCTGTATTTCTGCATGTACAAGTGTTAAGCAAGACTCCTATCTTATACCTTACACAAAAATCCATTCAAAATGGATTAGACACCTAAATCTACAACCTGATACCATCAAATTATTAGAGAACATTGGAGAAACCCTGAAACACATGGGCATATGCAAAGAATTCTTGGAAAAGACACCAGAGGCACAGGCAATCAAAGCAAAATTAACAAATAGGATTCACCAAATTGAGAAACTTCTGTACTGCCAAAGAAACACTCAGGAAAGTGAAGAGGTAACTGATAGAATGGGAGAAACTATATGCAAACTCTGCAACTGATAAAGGATTAATAACCAAAATACATATAAAGATCATGAACTCCACAATAACAAATCAAGCAACCCAGTAAAGAAATGGGGAAAAGACTTAAATAGACATTTTTCAAATGAGGAAATTCAAACTGCCAACAGACACATGAAAAAATACTCACGATCACTAGCTAATAGGGAAATGGAAATCAAAACAATGAGGTTTCACTTTACCACAGTTAGAATGGCGTTCCTAAAGAATCAACAAGAAACAAATGCAAGTGAGCATGTGGGAAAAAAGGTACCCTAATCCACTGTTGGTGGGATCCTAAAACTGGTACAGTCACTGTGGAAGACAGTCTGGAGATACCTCATAAATATGAAGATACACCTACCATATGACTCAGCTATCCCACTCCTGGGAAATTACCCAGGGGAAATGAAATCAGTATATGAAAGAGTTATCTTTACCCACATGTTTATTATGCTCAATTCACAATACCTAAGACATGGAATCAACTTAAATGTGCATCAGCTGAAGTCAGGATAAGGAAATTAAGAGATATGAACACCATTGAATACTACCCAGCAGCACAAAAAAAATGAAGTCCTTTCACCTGCAACAACATGGATCCAACAGGAAAACATTATACTTAGTGAAATAAGCCAATTGTCAAGGGACAAATACCATATATCCTCCCTGATATGTGGTAACTTATAGAGCACCTATAAGGTTATCTATAGAAGTGAAATTGACACTTTGAGATGTGATGACTTTGAAAAGCCCTTGCCTTGATGGTTGAGGAGCAGTTTTTTTCATACTATTTGTTGAACTCTTTACTTAGTACAGGGTTAATCTTATGTGTATAAAGTTAATTGAAAATAGATAAAAAAATAAGAATGGAAATAGGAGAGGGAGGAGCAAGAATGGTGGGGGGGGGCAGGTGAGTTGGAAGAATCATTATGTTCCTAAATTTGTATTTGTGAAGTGCATGAAATTTGTATACCCTAAATAAAACATTTCTGGTAAAAAAATAACAACAACAACAACAACAAAAAAAAAACAGACAAAAATATACTTGCTCAAAAACTCCCTAGGTGCAGTAAGAGATAACACAGGAATGACAAATATGGATTTGAGAGTTTTTGTGCAGGATGAGGTAGGTAGAAAAATGGGACATACAATAGGTAAAAAACATATTTCTGAAAAGAGAAATACTCTAAATTGCCTTCCATTCCATACCATCTCTATAGTGAACAAGACATGAGAGATGCAAGATGTCTTTACAGAGATCACAGAAAATGCCCATTATGAGAAAGCTCTACATATATTTTGAAATTTTTGTTCACCAAAATAAATATCTTTTAATTCCATTTCCATGAACTTTTTGAAGCTACCTTGTATAAACATGATGATGCCTTGAGGATATATGTTCCCAAGGCCTCCCTTGCGTAGAAACTTAGCCAAAATGAATGTAATGCCAGTGTGCAAAGATATGATGTCATTATGATATGTCATCTGAACTCAAAACTCATGCTTTTCCTGTAGTTCCTCTGCATACCCAGTCCTGAGAGAAAACTATAGTTATTCAGAAATAGCACCTCGGCATCCAATATGGCACTTTCCTCACATATTTGAGGGTAATTTTACTGCTCTTAATTTTCATTTTATTGGATTATTAACAAGAACTACATTATATTCTAACTTCTGTGTAAAGTAACATTATTCCCTTTATTTTTCCCAGTTTTCTTAGCTAAACAGCATTAACTTGAAGTAAATTACGATCTTATTCATAATGGATTTTCGTAACTACCTTATGTGGCTGTTATCAGCATTAATTGAGTAGATGTATGTAAATACTCAAAAACATGCCTGCTACATATAAAACAGTGAATTTCAGTTATCATTGGCATGATTCTTGCTTAACTGGACTTTCTCATTACTTGAAGATGTCTAATTGAAATATTTTATTGCAGTATCTAAAACTTATTACACTGATTACATTCATGAGGCTGTAGAGACTACAAAGTTACCTTAAATATTAGTTATGCACTAAAGATTGGCAGCATACCAGTGATCTTTATGTTCTAGTAAAGGTCATGTGAAGATCTTTAATTTTTATTTTCCAAGCAGGGAATGTTGAATGTAGACTAAATGCTCCTTTCTTAACAAAAAGGCTTAGACAATTTTTTTAAGGAATTGTATAGTACTAGGTCTTTTCAAAATCCTCTCTTTACTGGAAAAATTGTTCCAAGTGCTCTTCAAAAATTTTGATTAACCTTTGAGGAAGAAAACACACCTACAGGACCTTGAATAACTGTAGCAGTTACCAAAACTAGAAATTTCTTTGCTCCGGTTCAGTAGTAAGCAAGAGCCAGTGTGTAGCATTTGATGTCAGAGGGGGAGTTTTGTAGGTGGCCTGACAGCTTAGGTTCTTCCTTAGGTTCTCTTCCTCAGGTTCTGTAGATACACGACAGGCATGGCCGTCAATGAAGTGGTGATCATCTCAAGGCCTGACTCAAGGCTTTCGTCTAAAAAACCTTCCACATAGGACCAGTGTAAGACACTGATGGTCCTGCGAGTGAGATCCCAGTGGAAAGAACAGGTCATCGAAGAAGGAGGTACCTTTCTCTGAAGGGAGGAGAGAACCTCCACTTTGACTATGACCTTGTCTAAACAAGATAAGAGTTGGAGAACTCAGAGGGCTTCCATAGCCTAGGAAACTCATGACTGGAGCATAGGGAGATTACTGATGCCATAGACAGGAGTGTCAATTGGTAAAGTCAACAACAGGAGTCACTGTGCACTTACTCCTCATGTAGGATCTCTATCCTTAATGTGCTGTACATTGAGATTTAATGCTATAACGAGTACTCAAACAATATATTTCACTTTGTGTTTCTATGGGGGTGCAAACTGTTGAAATCCTTACTTAATGCATACTAAACTGATCCTCTGTGGAAAAAAAAAAAAAAAGAAATTATCAATTCCCAACCTGACTCTCACTGGGATTAAACATGACAATAGGTCTGCTCTGATTTCATCATCATTTAAAAAAAATCATCTATTATTTTTCACTTTATGTTTCTGTGTGGGAGCAAACTGTTAAAATCCATACTTGATGTATACTAAGCTGATCTTCTGTATATTAAGATAATCGAAAATGAATCTTGATGTGAATGGAAGGGGAGAGGGAGTGGGAAAGGGGAGGGTTGTGGGTGGGAGGGACGGTATGGGGGGGAAGCCATTGTAATCCATAAGTCGTACTTTGGAAATTTATATGCATTAAATAAAAGTTTAAAAAAAAAAAAGACACTGATGGTCATGAAACTACCTACTAAACAGAATTCTTATTGAAAATATTCTGTAGTTTATTTCAAATTTCAAAAGTAATGTAGAAGTTAAGCCAATGGAATTTAACCAGGTAGTAAGAGTGCTAGTTAACCTAAATCTAAAAAAAAAAAAAAAAAAAAAATAAATAAATAAATAAAAATAAAGAAAGGAAATCAAAGAGATGGTCAGATAGAATAAGCTTGAGAAAAATGTTAAAAATTTTAAGCATTTTGGGGCCAGCACTGTGGTGCAGCAGGTTAAAGCCATGGCCTGCAGTGTCGGCATCCCATATGGGCGCTGGTTCGAGTCCCGGCTACTCCACTTCCAATCCAGCTCTCTGTTATGGCCTGGGAAAACATTAGAAGATGGCCCAAGTACTTGGGCCCCTGCACCCAAAGGCAGATCTGGAAGAAGCTCCTGGCTTCGGATCAGCTCAGCTCTGGCCCTTGCGGTCCTTTGGGGAGTGAACCAGCGGATGGAAGAGCCCCCCCCACTTCTCTCTCTCTGGCTCTACCTCACTCTGTAACTCTTTCAAATAAATAAAATAAATAAAAAATTAAGCATTTTTTAAAAATTGAAATAAAATATACAATATGTACAGAGAAATACACAGAAATTAAGTATTCTGCTTGGTGAGTTTGACCTATACACCCATGTACTCATAACCCTGATGAAAACAGAACATTTTCATCATCCCTCAAAAGCTCCCTTGTGCCTTTGTCCAGACAATGCCCATCCCCACAAAACAACTGCTTTGGTTTTTTTGTGTGTCATCATTGGTTATCATTGGTTAGCTTTGCCTGGTTTTAACTTCATGCAAATTGAATCATACATTATTAATAGTTTGTACGATTTCATATTGGGTTTCTTTCTCTCAACATATTGTTTGGGAGGTTTAGGCCTATTACTGAATGCATCAGTAGCTTGTTCCCTTTTATTACTCAGTACTGTTTTCAGCGTATGAAGCTATCATGAATTGTTTATAAAATCTGTTGAAGGACATTCAGCTTGTTTGCACGGTTTGGTGCTGATGTGAATAAAGCTACAAGGAATACGTCCTCTGAGAGGACATATTGTTTTCATTTCCCTTGAATAAATATCCAAGAGTAAATTTTGGGTCACAGAGTAGATGAACAACTTTAAATTTATAAGAACTTGTCAAACAGTTTTCTAAAGTTCCAGCTCCACTTTGTACTCCCACAAAAATTTTGTGAGAGTTTCAGTCCTTATACATTCTTATTAACATTTCATTTTGTCCATCTTTTAAATTTTAGTTGTTCTAGTGGGTTTGAAGTGATGTCTCACTGGGCTTATTAACTTCCCTAACAATTAATAATGACAAACAGTTTTGAATATGCTTAATGAGCATGTAAAATGGCTTCCCAGGTTTCTTTTTCACTTTTTTTGGATGACTCGTTATTTTATTCTTAATAGTAGAGGCTCTTTGTGATATATTTGTATTGGGTAAGCAGTTTATTGCGTATAATTGGTATATAAGACGTTACAAAAGTTGACAAGTTGGAAGCATGTGTACACCAAAGAAATCTTGGTAACAATAAGCACAGTGACTATATTCATCACCAGAAATACCACTTGTGACATTTTTTAAGCACCCAACCATACTGATCTGCTTTCAGTTGCTACAGACTAGCTTGCTTTTTTAGAACTGTCTATAAAGATAATCATATTGCATGTAATCTTTGTGTCTGCCAGGACTCTGTTACTCATTACAATGACATTCATATAGCAGTTGTTCATTTCCTCTTTGTGAGAATTTCGTTGTGTGTGTATATATATATATATATAATACACATCATTTATTTATTCATGTGTTGATGGGTTTACAGGTTATTTCCACATTTTTGCTATTATTACAAATAACATTGCTATTTTAAACAAACATATGCTTTCATTTCTTTTAGGTGAATACCAGGGTATAAATAGCTGGATCATATAGTAGGTGTATTTTTTTTTTTTTTAGAAAAATGCCAAACTGCTTTCCAAAGTGCTATTGCTCTTTTATACTGCCAGCATTAGTCAAAGACTTTCAGTTGCAACACATTCTTGCTAACACTCTGTATGATGAACCTTTTAAATGGGTATGTTGTGGGGCCAGCGCTGTGGTGCAACAGGTTAAGTCTCCGACTGCAGAGTGGGCATCCCATATGGGTGCTGGTTTGAGTCGAGGCTGCTCCACTTCTGATCCAATTCCCTGCTAATGCACCTGGGAAAGCAGTGGAAGATGCCCTAAGTGCTTTGGGCCCCTGCAGCCATGTAGGAAGCCTGGAAGAAGCTCCTGGTTCCTGGCTTCAGATCATGTTTCATCTGTTTGGGGAGTGAACCAGCAGATGGAAGACCTTTCTCTGTAATTTTGCCTCTCAATTGAATAAACACATCTTTTAAAAAATGGGTATTGTGGGGAGCAATCCGGACTGGACTGAGTTACTGGAATTAAGACTTATTCTATGCATCTGCTCTCCCACAATATGGCGCTGGGAGAGAAGTAAACAGCTTCTACCCAGCTGCCTCTCACCAACTTGACAAGCTGCAGGAGCTGCTCCTGATTGGAGGAGAGCGGCGTGCTCGGCGTGTGGGCAGCCGAGTTAGGATTGGCGGAGGAGGACTATAAAGGAGGAGAGAGACGGCATGCACCAGGAACATCTATGGGGAACATCTAAGGGGAACATCTAGCTGAAGGAACACCCGTGCAGCCCCCGAGAAAGCCGGCCGGCGGTGTGCCGCTCCCCTGCGGAAGTGGGGAAAGCGGCCAGGGGGAACCGCCCTTCCACGGAGGTGGAAGGGACAGTAGCCAACCCGGGAAGAACCAGCAGCAAACCCGGGGAGGGCCGAGCAGACGAAAGAACAGCGCAGGGTCCTGTGTCGTTCCTCCACGAAGAGGGGGAGCGACAGGTATGTTGTGATATCTGATTCTGGTTTTGCCACAGGGTAGGTAGGTTCAGGTTCTTGTTTCAAATACAAGAAAGACTTCGAGCATGAGAAGAGGATAAAGGTCAGTGGAGAAGCAGAGTTAATTGCATGCAGGGTGAAAGTACACTGACAGACTGTAGGCACGCTCAAGAGAGAGCTGCACTCTACAAGATTTGGATCATCCCTTTATATGAACTGGAGGCATAAGGAGTGGTATCTGAGTGGTGCATAACTGAAAATTCATAAGGAATTGTTTGGGGTGGGGTTTCAATACCACCCAGTTCCTTGCTCTTTACTGGAAATCTCAAAAGTGTCCCAGCCTGATGGAAGTGGGAGTTATCAACAATGGTAATTATATTATAATGCCTTTATAATTAGCTAAAGATCATTTTAAGGATACAGTCTACAGGTATGCTGGTTATTTTTAGTCCATGACAGTTCTCACTGCACGGAAAGGCGAAGAGGCAGGTTCGGGTGGGGCTGCAGCAAGTTTGCCGCGGCGCTGGCGAACATCTTTTCTTTGGCTTACTTGTCAACATATTGGCTGGTGAACTGTTGCCCATCACTGAATTGGCTTGATATTTTAATAGTGAGTTTTAAGAGTTCTTTAAACAATTTGTATATAAGTACTTCATCAAACATGATTTGTAAATACATTTCAAGATTTTGTGTGTATATTTTCATTTTCTTAATATTTTGTACAGCAAATTTTCTTAATTTTATGAAAGCTGGTTAAGAATGTAATTCTTAGGCTGGTGCCACGGCTCACTAGGCTAATCCTTCATCTTGCGGCGCCAGCACACCGGGTTCTAGTCCCGGTCGGGGCGCTGGATTCTGTCCCGGTTGCCCCTCTTCCAGGCCAGCTCTCTGCTGTGGCCCGGGAGTGCAGTGGAGGATGGCCCAGGTGCATGGGCCCTGCACCCCATGGGAGACCAGGATAAGTACCTGGCTCCTACCATCGGATCAGCGCAGTGTGCCGGCCGCGGCGGCCATTGGAGGGTGAACCAATGGCAAAAGGAAGACCTTTTTCTCTGTCTCTCTCTCTCACTGTCTACTCTGCCTGTCCAAAAAAAAAAAAAAAAAAAAAAAGTAATTCTTTGAGGGCCCATGTTTTTGGTATTCCATGAAGAAATCTTTGAGCCAAAGTTACAAATATTTCCTCCACACTTTTAAAAATTTATAATTATAGTTTTGAAATTAGCTCTGAAATTCATTTTTAATTTTTGTAAATGTAGACTGAAGTTCATGGTTTGCATAAGGATACCCAAATGTTTCTGTGCTATTTGTTGAAAACACAATATTTATCCAATGACTTCAGTCTTTGCACTTCTGTCAAAAGTCACTTGTCCAAATATGAATAGGTCTATTTCTGGAATTTCTATTATGTTCAAATGATCTATTTATTTATGTCAAAATGGCTCTATCTTCATAACTGCAGTGTTAAAATACTTAAATCAGGTAGTGTTAGTTTTCTAAATTTTGGAAGACTTTTTTGAAGTCAATTTCCATATGATATTTTTGTTCATTTTTTACAATGAACCCATGAGTATAGTATATATATTTATGTAACTTTCCTTTTATTTCTCTAAACAATATTCTGTTTCTGCAGTCATATACTTCTTTTGTCAGATGTTTTCCTAACATTTTATAATTTTGATCCTTGGAAAATGGTATTTTTTATTTCAACTTTTATTGTCAGTGGATAAAAATATAATTTATTTTTATTTAGGGTTTATAACTTACAGCCTTGTTTAAACCACATATTAGTTAAAAGTTTATTCATTCACTCATTCATTCATTCATTTTACAGGCAGAGTAACAGGGTGAGACACAGAGAGAGAGAGAGAGAGAGAAAGGGAGACAGAAAGATCTCCCACCTGCTGGTTGGTTCACTTTGCAAATGGCTGACTGAAACAGCTGGGCCAGGCCAAAGTGAGGACCCAAGAATTCCACTCAGGTGTCCCATGGTGGTTGGCACTGACTCAAGTATTTGAAACATCTGCTGCTTCCCAGGTGCATTAGCAAGAACCTGAATCAGAAGCGGAGTAACTGAGACTCAAAATGGCATTCAAATATAGGATGCAGGGGCTCCATCGTACCAACTGGCTCTCTTGTAGATTTTTAAAAGATTCAATGAAATCTATATGGACACCTCCATCTGTGAATCAAGAAAGCTGAATTCTTTTTCAATCTGGATGTTTTGCTTCTGTTTCTTGTTTTACTGCAATGCATAGTTCTGCTAATATAATGTAAACAGGAGTGGACCTCCTTGCCTTTTTCCCAGATTTTAAAGGGAAATTATAGTTTTACTAGTTTCATATCAGCTGCAGATGTTTTTTGAAAATGAAATTTCCATGGTATCTGTTGTTAGCTTTCCTTTTTTCATCTCTAATTTTATTGATTTGGGCTTTCTCCCTCTTTTTTTTTTTTTTTTTGTTTGTTAGTTGGACCAATGGGGTGTCAATTTTGTTTATTTTTTCAAAAAACTAGCTCTTGGTTTTGTTGATCTTTTGTATTTTTTTTGGTTTCAATTTTATTTCATCTCTAATTTTAATTATTTCTTTTCTCCTTCTAATTTGGTTTTCATTTGCTGTTGTTTTTCTACTTCCATGAGATGAATTGAGAGCTCATTTACTTGGTGCCTTTCTTATTTCTTGATGTATGCACCAAGTGCTATAACTTTCCTCTTAACAGTGCTTTTGCTGTATCCCATAAGTTTTGGTATGTTGTACTGTCATCTTCATTCATTTCTGGAAATTTTTTGATTTCTTTTTTGATTTCTTCTATGACACAATGTTAATTCAGGAGCATAATGTTGTATTTAATTTTTTTGGTAGCTACTGGGGAAGAGGTTTTTTTTTTCATACTATGTTTTTGAATGCTTTACTTACTATAGGGTTAATCTTATGTATATAAAGTTAACCGAAAATAGATCTTAGTAAAAATGTGAATGGGTATAGGAGAGGAATGAAGATAAATGGTGGGAGGGCTAGGGAGGGAAGAATCACTATGTTCCTAAATCTGTATTTGGGTAATGCATGTAGTTTGCATATCTTAAATAAAAGGTTTCTAGGTTACAAACATGATTAAGTTCTCTCTTATTTATAGTTTGCTGAAAGTTATGTGTTTTGCTTTTTTTTTTTTTCAAAAAATCAGGAATGTATACTAGGGTCTATCAAATCCATCCTTGACATCTGTTGAAATGATTGTGTGCTTCTCCTTTTTTAGTTTGGTACCACGGTGAATTACACTGATAACTTTGAAGGTCATATTAACCCTGCATTCCTGAAATAAACTGTATTTGTACATGCTGCATAATTTTATATATTATATTAAATTATGGCATTTAATTGAATTTTTAAAAGGTTTATCTTATTTATTTGAAAGGCAGTGCTACAGAGAAAGCGAGGTGCAGATACAGACATCTTCCACATGCTGGTTTACTTCAAAAATGGCTGCAATGGCCAGGGCCAGGCCAGGCCAAAGTAAGGAGCCAGGAGCTTCTTCCAGGTCTCCCATGTGGGTGGCAGTGGCCCTAGCATGTAGGCTATCTTCTGCTTCTTTCCCAAGTGCATTAGCGGAGAGCAGGATTGGAAGTGCATCAGCCTGGACTTGAACTAGCATCCATAAGGGATGCTGGCATTGCAAGCAGCAGCATAACCCATTATGCCACCGTCCTGGCCCAATTTGTCTGAATTTAAAAAAAAATTTGCCTTTTGTCTATGAGGAATATTCACCTGCAGTTTGCTTTCCTTGTATCAGCTTCATCTGACTGATAAAGATAATTAATATTGGCCTTACAGAATAAGTTTCAAAGTCTTCCTCTTCAATTTTGTGCAGTTCTGTTGAATTCATATTATTTCTTCCTGAAATAGTGCTTGGTAGAACTCCCAAGTAAAGCCATCTGGGCCTGCAAGGATTTTTTGTTGGAAAAGTTTATAAATATATATAATATTATTTTTAAAGCTATTTCACCACATTAATTACCTATTTCTTTTGAGTGTACACTGTCTTTTAAATCATTTGTCCATTTCATTTAAGCTATCCAATTTATTCACATGAAGTTGTTCACAATGTTTCTTTATTATACTTTTAATAACCTGAGGTCCTGTAATGATGTTCTTGCTCTTTCTCATGACATTTTTAATTACTGTCTTCTTTTCTCTGTGATCAGGTTGCTTAACAGTTAATCAACATTTTTTTTTCCCATGGAAAAACCCTCTTGTTTACTTGATTCAACAAAAATAAAATAAGCTGTATAGGAACAATTTTAAAGTCCAGAGACAAAGCAACTTTTTATTTTACAGCTTATTGATGTTTGTTAAAAATAGCATCATCTTCCTCTATTGTTTGTGCATCCCATACCAGTGATTTACACCCCAGCCATTATTTCCTCTTTCGAGTTTACTTTAGGTTTAATTTGCTTTTCTTGCCTAGGGAAAAGCTGAGATTATTGACTTAAGATTTTTCTTTTATCTAATATAGGTACTCAGTGTTATAAATTATCCCCTGGGGACTGCTCACATGACATTCTACAATTTATTCTGTCTTCTCATTTCCATCAAGTTTCATAGATTCCACAGATTGGACTTCCAGAATAGCTCAGTGAAGAGCTCAGAAATACTCACCAAAATAAACTTGTCTTTTAAGTCCATTTTCATCAACTTTTTATAAAGGATTATCATGTAAGATTATTTTTTCTTCTCTCTGAATAAAGACAGAATATCAAACTTAATTCTTTATATGGGATTCCATCTGCTCCTTAACTCCTAAAGGCACCAGATGAGAGATTTTACCACAGCTGATACAACACCCCATTCAACCTGCTGACAGTCGGAACGTGCACTGACATAGTAAGCAACAGACTGCCTGACAGTACAAGTCCCTGGAGAGAAGTCAACGCCAATAGGGTAAACTGTGGGGAGGGTTTTGTCTCTGAGAATTTCTCCTTTCAAAGATATTTCATTTATTAATGACTATGGAAGTGGAGATTTCCAAGAAAGGCACTAAAATTGTAGAACTGGGAGGTATAAATTATCCCATAATGAGTAAGAACCAGGTCCATAAGCCAAACACCAGAAATGCAATCTTCACGACTTACAGTCCTTCAAAATTCTGGCACTGCATATGTATTAGACTGGGATATCGGAATTATAGCTTGCAATAACTTTCTAAATGATCAGAAAATCTTCATTAGTTTACAATAAAATGGACAGTTTAGGAATGAGAAGCCACAGATTATGGTTCTGTTCCACCTGTGGCACAGATGTAACCTATGGCATGGCTACTATCATCTCTCACCTAAATTAAAACACAGCTTATGCATCCGCAGCCAGAAAACCTGCATTTCAGAATCTTTAATTCACAGGCCCATGGAGGTACCTACCGTCAGCCTATCTATGATGCTTGTGATCATGACAATAAAATACACATATTTCAGTCTCCCCTGCAAGCCCAATTGATACTATACAAATTATAACATCTGGATTGTTGTTACATATGGTAAATTTCTCAATATTCTGCTCGAGTGAAACTGGATGTAGAAGAAAAAAAAAAGCAGAGAAGAAAACCCCTAATAGCAATAAAATTAGAGATCAGCAACACTTACATCAGTCTGTGAAGCACGTTTGCCAAAAGGAACAAAATATGAACAAAGCACTGGAGGGAAAACATACACCTGTGTGGACAAGAACCATTACACAGAATTCTCCACAAAGTGAGAGCACAACTTAAGTATCCAAACCATGATTCCATCATTACAGTAGTACCTACATGTGCAGACCAACCACAGTTCATGTCATCCTTAACAGACAGACAATTCAGGCCTGAAACACACACACACACACACACACACACACACTCTGCAATAATCAGACTGCCAGTGTAGTCAGATGGTGAGTAAATGAAAAATGGCACCGGCTGTGTAACCGAACTCGGTCAGCTTAGAAGGAGTAAAAGTAGGCTGGCGCCGTGGCTCACTAGGCTAATCCTCCGCCTTGCGGTGCCGGCACACCGGGTTCTAGTCCTGGTCGGGGCACCGGATTCAGTCCCAGTTGCCCCTCTTCCAGGCCAGCTCTCTGCTGTGGCCAGGGAGTGCAGTGGAGGATGGCCCAGGTCCTTGGGCCCTGCACCCCATGGGAGACCAGGAGAAGCACCTGGCTCCTGCCATTGGATCAGTGTGGTGTGCCGGCCGCGGTGTGCCGGCCACGGCGGCCATTGGAGGGTGAACCAATGGCAAAAGGAAAACCTTTCTCCCTGTCTCTCTCTCTCACTGTCCACTCTGCTGTTTTCAAAATAAGAATGAGGAGTAAAGTAACTCCACAAAGTCTCCACAAAGAACTTGTGGGAAAGCCTTCCCTGGAAACCAGGAAGCCTTCTTCCTAGACTATGGAAGATCATATCCTGAAGGGCAAGTGTTAGAGTAGTTGACTAACTTCTATAAACCCAAATTTCTATCTCACAGAACTGAATCCACTCCCACTCCCTGGAATACAGCTGCATGGATCCAGTCCGGTAAAGCAACACAGCCCTAAGATTAATTCTGGGCTCTCTCTTCCTGGATGCATCAGTAGGTTCTGGCTACGACTTTGTCTGGTTTATTGGATGTGCCATTCTGAAACCCAACTTTTTACTATGTCCAAGTACTGTGCTATTTCTAGAGACTGAAGACCCTTGCACTATAGCTCGTAGCTATCCTGGAGGGGAAAAGTCACAGAACAGTGCCATTTTGACAACTAATGTAAAAACGACCTATTTTAATCTCTAAACCATCCATTGAAATAATCTATTATGATGATATTTGTTTCTTCAAGATCCATACACCCTAAATTCATTTTCTGGTCTATTGCTGCCCTCATATACTTCTTTCTTTTTTTTTCTTTCTTCCTTGTTGATCATTTGTTTCTTTTTTTTTAAACTTTTATTTAATGAATATAAATTTCCAAAGTACAGCTTATGGATTACAATGGCTTTTCTCCCCCCCATAACTTCCCTCTCACCCGCAACCCTCCCCTCTCCGTCTCCCCTTCCATTCACATCAAGATTCATTTTCAATTCTCTTTATATACAGAAGATCAATTTAGTATATATAAAGATTTCAACAGTTTGCACCCACACAGAAAAACACAAAGTGAAAAATACTGTTTGAGTACTAGTTATAGCATTAAATCACAATGTATAGCACATTGAGGACAGAGATCCTACATGAGGAGTAAGTGCACAGTGACTCCTGTTGTTGACTTAACAAATTGACACTCTTGTTTATGGTGTCAGTAATCACCCTAGGCCCTTGTCATGAGTTGCCAAGGCTATGGTAGCCTTTTGAGTTCGCTGACTCTGATCATATTTAGACAAGGTCATAGTCAAAGTGGAAGTTCTCTCCTCCCTTCAGAGAGAGGTACCTCCTTCTTTGATGACCTGTTGTTTCCACTGGGATCTCACTCGCAGAGATCTTTCATTTATGTCATTTTTTTTTTGCCAGAGTGTCTTGGCTTTCCATGCCTGAAATACTCTCATGGGCTTTTCAGCTGGATCCGCATGCCTTAAGTTCTGATTCTGAGGCCAGAGTGCTGTTTAGGTCATCATCTGCCATTCTATGAGTCTGCTGTGTATCCCGCTTCCCATGTTGGATTGTTCTCTCCCTTTTTTGGATTCTGTTGGTTAGTATTTGCAGACACTAGTCTTGTTTATGTGATCCCTTAGACTCTTAATCCTATCATTATGATCAATTGTGAACAGAAATCGATCACTTGGACTAGTGAGATGGCATTGGTACATGCCACCTTGATGGGATTGAACTGGAATCCCCTGGTATGTTTGTCACTCTACCATTTGGGGCAAGTCCGATTAAGGTGATGTTGGCTTAATAGAAAGAATTTGGGAGGACTCCATCTTTTTTGATTGTTCTGAATAGTTTGATTATAATTGGAGTTAATTCTTCTTTAAATGTCTGGTAGAATTCAGCAGTGAATCCATCTGGTCCTGGGCTTTTCTTTGTTGGGAGGGCCTTTATTACTGTTTCAATTTCTTTCTCAGTTATGGGTCTGTTTAGGTTTTCAGTGTCTTCATGGTTCAATTTTGGTAGATTGCATGTGTCCAGGAGTCTATCCATTTCTGATAGATTTCCCTGTTTGCTGGCACACAACTCTTTGTAGTAATTTCTGATGATTCTTTTTATTTCTGTGGTGTCTGTTGTTACGTTTCCTTTTTCATCTCTGATTTTATTGATTTGGGTCTTTTCTTTTTTTAGTTAGTTGAGCCAATGCGGTGTCAATTTTATTCATTTTTTTCAAAAAACCAGCTCTTCACTTGATTGATTTTTTATAATTTTTTTTTGGATCCAATACTGTTGATTTCTTCTCTAATTTTTATTATTTCTCTTCTCCTACTAGATTTGGGTCTGGTTTGCTGTGGTTTTTCTAGATCCCTGAGATGCATTGAAAGCTCATTTATTTGGTGCCTTTCAATTTCTTGATGTAGGCACCTATTGCTATAAACTTTCCTCTGAACACTGCTTTTACTGTATCCCATAAGTTTTGATATGTTGTGTTGTTATCCTCATTTACTTCCAGAAAGTTCTTGATTTCTCTTTTGATTTCTTGAATGACCCAGTGTTCATTCAGGAGCATGTTGTTCAGTCTCCATGTGTTTGCATACTCTCTAGGGATTCCTGAGTTGCTAATTTCCACCTTCATTCTGCTGTGGTCTGAGAAGCTGCATGGCATGATTCTAATTCTTTTGAATTTGCTGAGACTTGCTTTATGGCCTAGTATGTGGTCGATCCTAGAGAAGCTTCCATGTACTGCTGAGAAGAATGTAAATTCTTTAAATGTAGGATTTAAAGTTATGTAGATATATGTTAGATCTATTTGGGCAATAGTGTCGATTAAATCTGCTGCTTCCTTGTTGATCTTTTGTCCAGGTGATCTATTTCTGAGTGGAGTATTGTAGTATTGGAGATCCTCTGAGAGTAATCTGATGTTTCTCTCTTGCACATTTTAGGATCTTTTCTTTATGTTTCACTGTGGTGAGTTTGATTACAACACGTGGTGAGGATCTCTTTTGGTCATGTTTATTAGGGGTTCTATGAGCTCCCTGTACTAGGATGTCTCTGTCCTTCTCCAAACCTGGGAAATTTTCTGCTAGTATCTCACTAAAAAGGCCTTCTAATCCTTTCTCCCTCTCCATGCCTTCAGGAACTCCTAGAACCCGAATGTTGGTTTTTTTAATAATATCCTGTAGATTCCCGACAATATTTTTTAGATTTCTAATTTCCTCTTCTTTTCTTTGGTTTGACTGTATCCTTTCCTTTTCTCTGTCTTCTAAGTCCGATATTCTCTCTTCTGCTTCACTCATTCTGTTTTTAAGGCTCTCTAATGTGTTTGTCATTTGATCTATTGAATTCTTCATTTCATTATGATTTCTCTTCACTATCACAGTTTCATGTTCTACTAGTTGCTTCATTTAAGTTTGATTCCTCCTTAGTATTTCATTTTCGTGAGACAGATTTTCTATCCTGTCCAGTACGGATTCTGTAGTTCAAGAATTTTTGAGAACTTAATGTTCTTATCAATTTTTTGAGATCCGTTTCTTGCATTTCTTCTGTCTCATCATCTTCATAATCTTGAATTGGGATGTCTTGTTCATTTGGGGGCATCACAGTGTCTTCTTTGTTCTTGCTTCCTCGGTTTCTTTCTTTTATTTTTTTA